CAATTTCTACCTCTGATACTTAGTAACTTGAATAGTAATCATACTGGGCCGGCCCGGTGGTGCACTGGAGAGTGTGCCGCTTCGGAGTGCGGCGGTGCTCCCGCTGAGGGTTCGGATCCCACATACAGACCGGTTCCCGCTCACTGGCTGAGCGAGGTGTGGGCACAGCACTGAGGGTTCCGATCCCGTTGCCGGTCCCGGTCCAGTACGGGCGCGACACTGAGGGTTGTGATCCGTTGCCGGTCACGAAAAAAGACAAAAAGAAAAAAAAAAAAAAATGTTTAAATAAATAACTTTACATATACGTCATTTTAGATATTTGTACTTTTTATAGATATTGATGAATTACCTTCCATAGAGATTTATTTAGATTCTCACCAGCAATCTGTTTTCTCCAACTTGACCAACAAAGCAAGACTCAAAACCTTATTCCTGCAATGCCTGGCATTGTCAGGCCCTGATACCTCTCTGGCCTCCTCTCATACAAATCACCCCTGACTTTCTGCCCTTCCAGCCCATGGGCATTTTTCAAGCTTCTAGAAAGGTTCTTTTTGAAGAAGTTCTTCACATTTATTGCCCCTTCAGCCTTGAGTGCTTTCTCCATCCCTCTCCACATTGCCTAGTTAACTCCTGCTCATTCATCAGCTCTCAGCTCCAGGATCACTTCTTCAGGGAAGCCTCCTTGATACCCTAGTCAGGTGAAGTTTCTTTATTATACCATATGGGAGAATCCTGCCTTACCTTTAGCATACATATCTCAGTTTGTAATTATACATTTATTAGTAATTACTTGATTAATGTCAGCTTCCTACATTAGACTGTGAGCTTCTTGAAAGCAGGGAGTATATCCATTAACACCTGACACTTCAAACAGTGCCAGATACGTAGGAGGGAATCAATGGATAAAATTTTAAATGAATAACCGGGTGAGTGAATGAATGAATGAGAAGACAAGGAAGAATAGAGCATGGTGTGGGCTGGCCCCGTGGCGCACTCGGGAGAGTGTGGCGCTGGGAGCGCAGCAACGGTCCCGCCGCGGGTTTGGATCCTATATAGGAATGGCCGGTGCGCTCACTGGCTGAGCGCGGTGTGGGTGACACCACACCAAGGGTTGTGATCCTCTTACCGGTCACAAAAAAGACAACCCCCCCCCCAAAAAAAATAATAGAGCATGGTGGTCCTGGAGTCAGTCAAGACAGACTTGGATTCAAATCCTGACTTTGTCACTTATTGTGTAAGCTTGAATAAGTTATTTAATCTCTTGGAGAACCAATTCCCTTATTTGTAAAATGGTGGCAATGGTACCTACCTCATCAGCTTGTTGTGATGAAATAATCTTGTACCTATCACATAATGAGCACTTACTACATGTTAATGTATATTATTATCACTATTATCATTAATATTAAGAATTATGATTATTAGACAAGAATGATTTTAACCTTCCTGCAGGAAAGAGGCAAACACTGGATTTGGTGAGGTAATCTTTGCAATCGGGACTTTCATATTTTATCACAGAATTATAGAATTATAGGGTTGGAAATGACTTAGACAATCATTCATTCAACTTCCTGAGAAAATTAAATAAATGAACTTTTCTAAAAACTCTCAGATGGGAAAGCCAAGATTATAATCTAGGTTTTTGTAGCTTTTATGTTAGTGATCCCTTCAATATAACATATTACAACAGATCTATTCATAAATACTGCAAGTAAAAACTTTAATACTTACCACAACCTTCCCTTTGTCTTTGTATTCATGGTCTCTCTGAAGTTTGGGACATAGGCATTGTCTGTTTTTTGTTTTTTCCATAAACTTTAATTTTTAGGACCGTTTATTTGTTTGTTTGTTTATTTATTTATTTTTCAGGGTAGGAGGAAAAGGCTTTATACTTTTAACAAGTAAGGAGAACTCTGGGGATTGCTCCCAAAGTAGTACCTCTCAATCTGATTTAGATTTACAGAAAAATTGTGGAGATAGTTGTATTAATCCGTTTTAGTTTTGCTATAACAGAATACCTGAGACTGGGTAATTCATAAAGAACAGAGGTTTATTTGGCTTACAATTCTGGGACAGCTGCATCTGGCACAGGCCTCAGGCTGCTTCTACTCAGGGTGGAATGTGGCAGGTAGCCCGAAGGTACAAGCAAATTAGGTGGCGAGAGGAAAGAAGCAAGAGAGAGAGAGGGGAGGTGCCAGGATCCTATAAACAACTAGCTCTCGCACGAACTAATAAAGCAAGAACTCTCTCACTACCCCTACCCCCCAAAGAGAGCATTAATCCATTCATGAGGGATCTGCCCCCATGACTCAGAGAGCTCCCAATATTGCCACATTGGGGATCAGATTTCCACATCAGTTTTGGGGGAACAACACATCCAAACTCTATCAATAGTACAGAGTTTCCATCACAAATGGGTGTACCCCTCACCCAGTTCCCCCATTACAAACATCTTAGATTAGTATTATATGTTTGTTACAATTAATGAACCAATGTAGATACATGATCATTAAATAAACTCCATACTTTATTCAGGTTTCTTTAGTTTTTGCCCAGTGTCCTTTTTCTGTTCTGGGATCTCATCCAGGATACCACATTACATTTAGTCATCATGTCTCCTTAAGTTCTTCTTGGTTGTGACAGATTTTTAGACTTTCTTTGTTTTTGATGACCTTGCTAGTTTTGTTTTTTTTTTTTCCTTTTTGTCTTTTTTTGTGACCGGCAACGGATCGCAACCCTCAGTGTCGCGCCCGTACCGGACCAGGACCGGCAACGGGATCGCAACCCTCGGTGTTGCGCCTGCACCTCGCTCAGCCAGTGAGCGGCCGGTCTGTATGTGGGATCCGAACCCTCGGCGGGAGCGCCGCCACACTCTCAAGCAGCGCACTGTAGCAGTGTGCCACCGGGCCGGCCCATGACGTTGCTAGTTTTGAGCAGTACTGGTCAGGTATTTCATAAAATGTCCCTTTATTGGGATTTGTCTCTTTCTCTTGTGATCATAGGTTTATTTTTGATTAACATAGCCTTATGCTTGTCATCATGTTTGTACATTCTTTTCACATGACATTATCCATTTCTATAATTTATGGAGTTTTTATAAACATCATTTTGTTTGTTTGTCTTTGGTTTTGGCAGCTGGCTTGGAGGGGATCCAAACCCTTGACCTTGGTGTTACAACACTGTGCTCTAACCAACTGAGCTAACCAGTCAGCCCACCCCCCTTTTTTTTTTAAGATGACCAGTAAGGGAATTTTAATCCTTGACTTGGTGTTGCTAGCACCACGCTCTCCGAAGTGAGCCACGGGCCAGCCCTACCAGCCAGCCCATTAAACATCATTTTTTTTTTTTTCCTTTTTGTCTTTTTTCGTGTCCGGCAACAGACCGCAACCCTCAGTGTTGCGCCCGTACCGGACCGGGACCGGCAACGGGATTGCAACCCTCAGTGCTGCGCCCACCCCTCGCTCAGCCAGTGAGCGGGAACTGGTCTGTATGTGGGATCCGAACCCTCGGCGGGAGCGCCGCTGCGCTCCCAAGCGGCGCACTGTAGCAGTGCGCCACCGGGCCGGCCCCCTAAACATCATTTTTAGTGGCTGAAAATCGTTGCTCTGTTAATTAAAATCTGTGTGACCTTAGACACATTTCTAAACTTCTCTGAGCACCTGGTTTTCTCCTTTGTAAATGGTGATCAGCTCACAGGATTGTCATGGAAAATGCAGGTAGACTTGTTGAGCAAAGGCAACACATAATGAAAGATGTGTTTAAAGATTACCCAGAGTGTTTAGCCTAGAATAGGGAGTGGGGGGGATAGGCGGCCAAGAGGTAACTGCAGTAGTTGGGGACTGCCAGGCCTAGGAGGAAGGAAAGGAGGATAGTGTTCAGAAGCAGACCCTGCCCAGGCAGCCTCAGTGGGACTCGAGAACTGACTGGGTATGGGCGAAACAAGCTGGGTCACAGGAGAGGACAAGAAGACCATCATGGTGGGGATCCTCTAGAACCAACAGAAAGTTGGGGCCCTTCAGTGTTAGGTGAGGGGGAGGTAAGAGCTTGGATCGGATATGTTTAGTTTCAGGGCTGGCCAGTTAGATCAGTTGGTTAGAGCACAGTGTTATAATACCAAGGTCAAGTGTTCAGACTCCCATACTGGCCTGCTGCAAAATAAAAAAAAGATATGTTAAAAATAAAATAAAAAATAAAAAAGATAAGCTTAGTTTCAGGTGGTGGCTACCTATCCAAATAATAGTGTTTTGTAGAGAACTGGAGATCTGGGTCTGAAGGAAGGTTGAGTCTTAGGACTTGAAAGTATACAGGCTCTCCAGAGGCTAATCTCAGAACTCTAGAACAACCAAGCCAGAAAGGGGCTGGAGATGATCTGAATGCTCAGTCATGATTGCTGCTATTTACAAAGTGTTCACTAAACCTAGATGCTGGGCAAGATCTGTCACCTCTCCTTTTCACCCTGAATTGACTCTGCAAGCAAGGTAGGTGTTTTTATTCATATTTTTACAAATGATAAAAGTGAGATTTAGAGGGTTAAGTAACTTGTCCAAAAAACGTACAGCTAGTTGGTCACTGATCAGGAAGCAATCCTTTTGTAGTGAAGTCAAACCCCCGCCCCTGCATCACCATCACTACTCTTGGAGTTAAGCCAGAAGGCCTCCAACACCCTTATTTGACAAAAAAGAAACCTGAAGGCTAGAAAGAGGAAGTAACTTGCCCAAGGGCGCTCGGGTAGTTAGAAATTGTGCTAGGGCTGTAAATCAGGTACCTGCAACTGGGCTTACCTTAAGGGGTACCCAATGTTAATGATGGCTGGGTGGGAAAGAAAAGCCAGTAAAGAAAACACACATGAAGAAAAGACATGGAGGAAGAACTTCTCAGCAGGGCTCACATGGCCTTGCCTACAGTTCTCCATGTCCCCTCCGCTCTCTCCCCACCATATACCCAGATTACCTGTAGTTTCTTCCTATACCATGTGTTATCACACCTTACTGAGCCAGGAGTACCCTACTGCCCTCAGTGCTCCTGTGAACCTCCCACTCAGTCAAGACCCAACTCATGCATCCTGTGCTCTGTGATGCCTTTCTGCTCAAGCCTCTTCTGTTACCCGCAGGACACTGTACAGGTCTCCAACAATGTGAGTTGTAGACCTTTGAGCACCTTCAGGGCAGTGACTTCACTGTGTTTACCCTTCTTTTCCAAGTGCCCAATATGAAATCTCATTGTTTAAAAATACATGCTGGTGGAGGAGAAGGAAAAGAGACAGGAGGGACCCAGGATTACAGGAAAGGAGAAGGCCCAAGGATATGAGTCAAGAAGCTGACTTTATTGACTTTCCTGTCAATAAACCCTGGTCACTCATTGGAACTGCCATGGACTAGATGCCCACAGGAGGATCCAAGGATTGAGCAAGTGGGAAAGGCAGTGGTGAGGCAAATCAGACCAGGTATACAGTCACTATATTTATGTTTGTATGTACACAGATTACACATAAGCTGCATATTTACACGTGAGAAATGGTGCCAGCAGGTTGAGGGTTCCTGGAGCAAGGGCATTCCTGAACACTGAAGTGGGAGGCACTTAGCTGAGGCCTACAGGGGAGAATGGCAGGGGTAGGAGTTGAAGGACAGTCTTCTGGGCAGAGATGTGGGCAGCTGTGTGGATAGCCCTCTGGGAAGGGGTGGGGCTCCTGAGGATAGGCCAGGGCAGCCAGACGCTGCTGTACACACTCAGCTGTCAGCCGTGCTTCTGGATCTGCATCCCAACAGTCCTCAAGGAGCTCCCTCAGCCCGCTGGGGTCCTGGGAAGAAGGACTGGGAGGCAGACTTGATCCCACAATCTTGACTGGCCCCCAGGGTTAAAAGGTATCTTCAATGTTCACCATTCCCATTTTCTTTTTTTTTCTTTTTTGGAGAGGGGCGGTTGGCCAGTAAGTGGATTCAAGTCCTTGACCTTGGTGTTTTAACACCACACTCTAACCAACTGAAATAACTGGTAGCCCCTCCCCTGTTTTCAACACTACATTTCTGATCCTTCCTGGAGGTTCCCTTCTCTCCTGGTCACTGGAATCCAGTCCTCTGAGTCTTGTTCCCTATGAGACAGACTCTCTGGGTACCTTCCATATGGTCCACCTTGAGGAGCTAATTCAGGTTGACAGCTTACCATGCTAATGGGAAATTACTCTCCTTCCTCTCAAGTAACCAGAGTCTTCTGCAAACAATGCCTAGCTCTGTGATTTATTTATTTATTTATTTTAATTTTTTAATTAAAAAAAAATTTTTTTTTTTGAAAGATGACCAGTAAGGAGATCTTAACCTTTGACTTGGTGCTGTCAGCACCACGCTCTCCAAAGTGAGCTAACCGGCCATCCCTATATAGGGATCCGAACCCAGGGCCTTGGTGTTATCAGCACCACACTCTCCCAAGTGAGCCACAGGCCAGCCCCAGCTTCTGTCATTTAACCCAACAGACATTTCTGCAGTGGAAAATTCAACCCAGGTAGCAGGAGAAGGGGCATCCTGCTAGGAAATTATTTGTGCAGACCCTGAACTTTCACTGTGAGGCCACAGTTTTAACCCTTTATACCTAGAACTAGCTTTTATTGGGCCACAGCAGGGGCATCCTGCTAGGAAATTATTTGTGCAGACCCTGAACTTTCACTGTGAGGCCACAGTTCTAACCCTTTATACCTAGAACTAGCTTTTATTGGGCCACAGAAGAAACACAAATATCTAAGACAGGATAAGAAACTATTGGATTGAAATTTGGTCTTCGCTGTACCTGGAGAGGAACCATCTTGGGGGCAGAGCTCAGGGCAGAAGAAAAGCTGGGCGGGGGGGGAGCTTCCTAGAGGAGGGGACTGAGAAGCAGAGCTAACTGATGGTAGAGAGGAGAGGGACAGATTGGGCAAGGTTGAGCAGGAGGAAGGAGTGTGTCTCAGGTGGATGGAATGAACTATGTGAGACTTAGGGTGGAAGAGAACCAGAACAAGTTTGCCTAGTTCCAGGTGAACATGAACCAAGATTGGTGGAAGATGAGAGGAGATAGGAGTAGAGGTACTGGTCCTGGCAGAGAAGTCCTTGAAGCCCATGCCCAGCCCCCACTCTCCAGGTCCCCAGCCCACCAGCCTGTGTCTTCTTACTGTGGCAAAGCAGCACCAGGTAGATGGGATGTAGGGGCGCCTCCTCTCCTCCACTGCCAAGGCCCATAGCTCACAGGTGGTAGGGGTGCTGCCCAGTTCTGCCTCATAAGCCAATTGGAAGGGTGGTGGTCTGCTGTCTTGGGGAAGGTGTAGGGGACAGGTGTCAGTTAGGCCTGGAGCGCCTCTCAGGTAGAGAGGCCAAGGGGGAGAAGATCAGAGTTTTCTGGGAGCCAGATCAGGAGACAGGTGAGCCTAGAATGGGCAGGTACAGCACCAGGGAAAGAAACTGTTCCACCCATCCTTACCAGGCCTCAAATCTAGGCAGCGGCTCAGGATTTCCCACAGGAGCAGAGCCAGAGAGTAAACATCAGCTCGCCGGAGGGCTGTGCCCCAGTCCTGTAGGTCGAGAGTCTTGTCCAGGAGCTCTGGCGCCATGTACCTCTGGGTGCCCGCCTAGAGAGCAAGGTGTGAAGGGCCAAGAATCATCTCTGGGGCAACCCTCACTGCAGTGCTGGTTCATGAAACATCCCCCCAACTACAGATTCAGCAATGTCCCAAATGCTATGGGTACTGTGGCACTGTTGCCATAGCAAAAGTTGCATCTCCATCAGCAGCACCACCATCATCCTTACCCAGAATACTCACCTCCATGATGGCAGCTGGGCCTCGGGGTTGAGTAGGGGTCCACGCAGGGGGCTGAATGAGGCCAGGGAGTACCAAGGCAAGGCCCAGGTCTCCAATGGCACATGACCCATCTTCCCGAATGAGCACATTCTGGCTGCTCAGATCTCGATGGGCAATACCTGGTTTATATTGGCCTGTGGGGGAATCCAAGGTTGAAGGGACATAGATCTTCTTTTCTCTTTTGACCCAGTTCTTCCCCTCCAAGCTAAGGGAAAATCAGAAACATAGCAGTATGGCTCATGACTCCCCTGGCTTCCCGCTCCCTGCTCACCCACCATCCTGCCAGCGCTCCTCATGTAGAAATGCCAGGCCCTGGGCCAGGGACAGTGCCATCCGCAGGGAACTTCCCCAGTCACTGGTGTGCTGGGTCAAGTAGTGGCAGAGGGAGCCCTGGGGAAAAGCAGAGAGAAGAGAACGGCACACAAAGCTGGAAGTGGCAGATCCATTCCAGGGAGCAGAGATCAATTGACAGACTTCCCCCTCCATCTCTCCAGCAGACAGACACACTGACAGATGTAGGTCAAGACAAGAGACAGTGGAGGAGTGAGAATGTGTATCAGTTAGATTGACATGAAAAATAGTAACTCTAGGTCTAGTGTACTGAGTATTACTGTCGTCCAGGCTTTGTGCACAAGTCCTCCTATATTTTTCATGTCAACTCTGGGAGGAAAATACTCTTATCACCTGCATTTTACAGATGAGGAGCTTTAGAGAGAGCTAAGTAAAATTGCTTGAAATCAGTTGTTGAGAAAAATGTGGAACTTGAATCTAAGCAGTCTACTCAAGGGTCACATTATTATTATTATTATTATTGTTGTTGTTGTTAAAGATGACTGGTAAGGGGATCTTAACCCTTGACTCGGTGTTGTCAGCACCACGCTCTCCCAAGTGAGCTAACCGGCCATCACTGTATAATGATCCGAACCCGTGGCCTTAGTGTTATCAGCACCACACTCTCCCAAGTGAGCCACAGGCCGGCCCTAAGCATTACTTATTATTAATCACCATCTCATATTGACTCAGAAGACTTGGGGCAAAGATGGAAACAGAGGAGATGGGGCAAGCTAGTCAGGGGCATCCTTCTTGAGCCATCTGGCCTGAGGTGTCAGGCCTGTATAGACATGAATGGGTAGAGCTGGTGGATAGTAGAGCAGCAGGTGGGGAGAAAGTGGGAATTGTAGGGAAAGAAGCAATAGAGTCTCCCTCATTCAACAATTATTGAGCACCTTCAGTGTGCCAAGAATTGTGGTCAGATACCAAGATGGCTCAGGGACAGGTAAGATATAATGATAACATATAAGCAGAGAATGCAATAAACCCCATGATGGGAAAATGAACTGAGTGCTACGAGGCATAAAGGAAGAAGGACTTAAGTCATTCTTTAGTCCTGGGGAAGTCAGAGAAAGTCAAACAAACAAAAACAGTGATTTCTGAGCTAGGTCAGGGGGTACATGGTCAAAGAGGGAACTTGCCAGAATTCAAGATTTCAGAAGTGGAAGAACTGTAGGTGCTGCTAAAGTCCAGGGAGGGGCTACTGCATTTGGGCACTGAAACAGGTTGAAGAGGCTGAACTACAATGAGGTGAAGGAGTGGATTGGGGGGAGCTCTTCCACATGGACAGAGGGACAAAGGCAGTCCTGATGGAGCGGTAAACAGGAAAGGCACACAAAAAAAGTGGTAAACACAATGATGAGGAGTCAGCCTCTAGAGTCACATAGATCCTGGGCAAATGACTTTCCTTTTCTGAGCTCCATGTGGATAATAATTCCTACCTCACAGTGTGTTTGTGAAGGCTAATTATGAAAATTTGCCTAGTGCAATGCCTAGAACAAAGTATAAAGGAAGTGGTACAGAAACTAAAAAAGCCCCAAATTTTCAGCAGGCCCATAAGGCCAGTGGGTCTAGCCCCTGCTGACTTGTCCCTCTTCATTCTTATTGCTCATTGTTCTCCCTCTCAAGTCACATCTTATTATTCCTATAGTGCTACGGTCCTCTTTTAGCACTTGGCACACTAGACATTTGACACATTTTTGTGTTCACTTGATCCATTTCTGTCTCTCCTGCTAGTCTATAAAATCTGTAAATGCACGGACTATGTGTGTTTTTCCCAGCATCTAGCACAACTGGACATATAGTTCATAAATATTTGTTGAATGAATATATGAATGAGTTTGGAGGGCTATGTCTGGAGATATTTCTTTAACAATGGCTTTGTTTAAGATTGTGAATATATATTGCTTTGATTTCTCCCCCCGCCCCCACAAATGCATTCCTTGGTCCTCACCTTGGGGTGCAATTCCAGTACCAGTAGGGGCCCAGAGGGCAGGGGGCCAGGGCTCCCCTGGCTGGCGGTGATAAAGCGGACGATATGGTCATGCTGTAGGCCTGGTAGCTCGTATAATGCTCTCTCAGCTCGGAACTGGGCCCCAGCCCTCGGGGGGAAGGCCTTGATAGCTACCAGCTTGCCTTGCAGCCGTCCAGCCCACACAACTGCGTGACCTCCTTCCCGGATTACCTGGTGGGGACACTGTGCTGGGTGCAGACCTCTGAGCTAGTACCAGGGCAAGGATTCCTCCCCAGCACAGCCTCCAGGAGTACCCGGAGGAGACTTTCCCTCCCTTCCTGAGGCACCTGGGAAAAGCACAGCTCGGGCAGCTCCGGCAGCTCCTCACTCCAGTCCCTGCCTGAGTCTGGCTCTGGATCTGTTCCCCCTCGCACTCTGTAGGCCTTTCGCTGGAGCAGGGCTGCGACAGAGAAGTCTTAGGGTTAGAGTGTACAGGCATGGGGACACGAAAGGGGACTTTGTGGGAAGGGAGCTTTGTGAGAGGTAATGGGGGTCAGACTATAGCGATCCCAGGACCATGGGTGTCAGGGGTACCTGGAGAAAGGTCAGAGCTTTGGGGCAGTGTCTTGGGGTCACAAGGGAGGGATGGGACAAATTAGTACCCAAGATGATACTGCCCAGCAGCAGCAGCAGGAGGAGCAACAGCCCTAGCAGCACCACTGCCATCCAGATGGACTCACCTGGACATCAAGGCAAGAACAAAGGCTGGTGAGCCCTGCCCCAAACCCCCTCTGTTGCTCTCCCCCTCCTCAGAGAGCTTGTTTTTCATCCCACCCCCAACCTGGTCACAAGCTCTCTTATCTCCTGGTCACCAGGGCAACCAACTTCTCAAGGCCAGAAGGAGAAAAGCTTGGGGTGGGGGCAGGGTGAGAACTGGCCCTGGTTTTATATCTCATCCTAACCTGGGCCCCAGCCCCCACTGGGCTTCAGCACCCCTGGGTGGCTACCTGGGGCAGCCTGGGGACCCTGGGAGTCAGGAGTCCTAGGGCTTCCGGGAGGAGGTAGATGGCTGTAATTGGCATTGCAGAAGTCAGTGCCACAGGAGCAGGTGAAGAGAGTGGAGTCGGGGCTGGGGTGGGCTCGTGGGCTTGGGTCACAATGGAGGGACTCACAGCCTGGTTCATCACTATCTCGGCATCCTGATGGGGTGGGATTAGGGGAAGAGGAGAGAAAGAGGGAACAAAAGAGAGACCTCAATGGAGTCTTGGAAGAGAGGATAAATCCCTTTTCTATCAGAGGTATCCCTTCCATCTCACATGGACTTTTCTTTCCCTCCACACATTCCATTTCTCCCCTTCCCCTCTGGCTGCCACCCACACCCCAGGATGTGCCTGTCTCCCACCCTAGCTATCATCTGCCATATACTTTGCCATTCACCTTGCATCTCCACCTGTGCCCGGTCTTGGGTTAGGTTCCAGATCCCAAAGCAGCAGTGGCTGTAGAGGCAGCGGATAACCCTGGGGGGCCCTGGTCCTGCACCTAGCAGTTCCCCCAGTGTCTTTGTGCTTCCCTGCACTCCAGGGGCCTCAAAGAACACACAGGTCCGCCTGTTTGGGGGTGCTGAGTCCCAGGGTGGGGAAAGGGAAGGAGTCAAGATGAGAGTAAATGCAGGGGCAAAAACAATAGCCAAAAGGATAAACAAAACATATTTCACATCTCAGGGTCAGTATGGTAAAGCCACAGGAGGAAAAAGGATCAGCAGAAGCCTGGAACCTGACCCCCACCAGGGGGACACATGGCTCCACCTTTTGCTGTCACTCACCCAGCCCACTCACCACTCTTCCAAAGGGATGGCTGCTGCTTCAGGTACCTCTTCTCTCACTGGGTGGGTAGAAAAGAACCTGCCCCTCCCAGTAGTCACTTACCTTGCACAGCTGTGGGAAACAATGCCCAAAGTCCCAGAGACCCTAGCATTCCTGCTGAAGGATGGTAGCAGGAGGAGGAGGAGAGCATGAGCCAGCACAGCTGTCCCTGACAGAGCTTCCTTCAGATACAGGACACTGTTGGGCTTCTGATTCCTCATTCCCCAACTCCGCCCCCCTCTATCCCATCCCATTCTCTGTGGGAGAGAAGGCTGCTGTGGGGGAGAGGGTGGGTGTGTGGAAAACAGGGAAAGAAAGGGAGGAGCAGAGAACCAATCTTGTATCATCCTCTCTTCAGCCACCTCCTCTTTTCTCTGCGTAGTGGAAGGAGAGGGCCTTGGAGGTCCAGCTGAGAACTCGGTGATGCCTAACTTCAAGTCTCTGCCCTTTGCTGACCTTGGAGGAAGGTGCTGGACCCTGTTGGCCCTTCTCAGGCTGGAAACCAAAGTGAAGTCAAATGTTTAGAGCCATTCAGCTCTGCCCAAGATCCCTTCAAACCCACATATTCAGGGCTCAGGTCTGCAGCTCCCTGTGAAGCTCCCTTCACAGCCCATACCAGAGTTGACCCTGTTTTCTAAACTCAAGAATCAGAAAGTATACAAAATTGCTCCAAGTGTTAAAAAATCACATTAAAAATGTTTATAATTGTAAATTTTGTTATGTATATTTTACAATTTAAAAAATCACATTAAAAATGTTTATAATTGTAAATTTTGTTATGTATATTTTACAATTTAAAAAATCACATTAAAAATGTTTATAATTGTAAATTTTGTTATGTATATTTTACAATTTAAAAAATCACATTAAGGGGCCGGCCCCATGGCGCACTGGGGAGAGTGCAGCGCTGGTAGCGCAGCGACTGATATCCTGGACCGGATAAACCCATGGATGAAGGGACTCCAAAGAATGAAAGAATTTCTTGATAGTGAGATGTGACCTTGTTAGTATCCCAGGCTGGTGAAGTAGAAGTAGAAATATATACTTACAGAGCTTATATACTCTTTTATGTTATTTTCATTCTAAGTTTAACTGATTTTTATTTTTATTTATTTATTTATTTATTTATTTTTTAAAAGATGACCGGTAAGGGGATCTTAACCCTTGACTTGGTGTTGTCAGCACCACACTCAGCCAGTGAGCGAACCGGCCATCCCTATATGGGATCCGAACCCGGGGCCTTGGTGTTATCAGCACCGCACTCTCCCGAGTGAGCCACGGGCCGGCCCCACAAAATTTTTATTGAGCACCTACTATGTGCTAGGGTACAGAAAGGACTTTTTTTCTTTTTGTATTTTACTTCACTTTAATAAAAAATAAATAAATATATGCTAGGGGGACTTTTTTTTTTTAATGAGTAAAGAGGTTGAAAGAAAACGAAACAAAATCAAAACCTACAGGGACTCCGCACTTAAGGACTATGCATTTTACAATCATCTCATCTAATTTTCCCTCTAATATATTTATTATTATCTCCAATTTATAAGAAAACTGAGCTTAGGTAAGTTGCCCGAGGTCACTCCACTCAACTCTTGGTATTACACCATGCTACCCGAAGACAAATACAAAATTCAGCAATAAAAAGTTCTATTTAATTTTTATTTTTTTTCTTGTGACCAGTAAGGAGATCGTAACCCTTGGCTTGGTGTCACCGCACTGCGCTCAGCCAGTGAGCGCACCAGCCATCCCTATATAGGATCCGAACCTGCAGCCTTGGCGCTCCCAGCGCGGCACTCTCCCGAGTGAGCCACGGGTTCGGCCCTATTTATTTATTTATTTATTTATTTATTTTTAAAGATGACTGGTAAGGGGATCTCAACCCTTGGCTTGGTGTCACCGCACTGCGCTCAGCCAGTGAGCGAACCGGCCATCCCTATATGGGATCCGAACCCGCGGCCTTGGTGTTATCAGCACTGCACTCTACCGAGTGAGCCACGAGCTGGCCCCTAAAAAAGTTCTATTTAATACAATATTTGAATATGGATTATTGAGAAAATTTATGCACCATTATCTGCCAGAAGGCCATTAACTGGAAAGGGAGGGTATAATTTAAACTATTGGGGCTGGCTGGTGGCTCACTTGGGAGAGCACGGTGCTGATAACACCAAGGTCAAGGGTTGGGATCCTGGTACCAGCCAGCTGCCAAAAAATAAACGAACAATCACCACCAGAGGTCAGCATAGAAACTCTGAGCTGTGGCAAGGGGGCATAAAGCACCTCTTCTTTTTTTTTTTTTTTTCCGTGTCCGGCAACGGATCGCAACCCTCAGTGTTGCCCCCGTACCGGACCGGGACCGGCAACGGGATTGCAACCCTCGGCATTCCTCCTGCGCCTCACTCAGCCAGTGAGCGGGAACCGGTCTGTATGTGGGATCCGAACCCTCGGCAGGAGCGCTGCTGCGCTTCTCAAGCGGCGCACTATCGCAGTGCGCCACCGGGCCAGCCCCTAAAGCACCTCTTCTGATGATTAATATATACATAGTACACCTCCTGTATGTATTAAGCTGCGGGGACTATGAAATGTGAAGGGAGGGTACAGGGTGTGTAGAGGAAACGCCAGCATGGAGATGGAAGAAGAGGCCTATATGGCTTATGCTGCGATAGAGACAGAAGGAGTCTCTTCCCCAGAGTAAGAAACAACAGTAAGGGCCAGCCCATGGCTCACTCGGGAGAATGTGGTGCTGATAACACCAAGGCCACGGGGTCGGATCTTTATTTTAAAAAAAAAGAAAAAAAAAAAAGAACAGTAACAGGTAATCATTTTCACACCTAGGTGCAGTTGGCTCCCATGAGAATTAAGAATCATAGGAGACCAGTTTCCTATTTTCCTAGCTTTCTGCCCCCCTAGTGGCTGCCTGAAAACCCTTTCTTGAATGATCTGGCTTAGACTTGAGATGAGGGTCTGAGTACTGACTGATTCTGGGGCCTTTCTCCTGGGGAGAAAGGGACTCCTGGGGAGTCTGCAGGAGGAGAAAGTAAAAGCTCAAGTAATTGTGAAACAGCAGATGGAGGAACCACCAGGGTTAGAGACAGCTGCCCACCCTTCCATGGGCCCTTCTGGGAGTCTGCAAGGCCCTGACAATGAGGTGGAAAGTTGTACTTAGTTCCAGCTATCTTTCTTCACCAACTCCTAGATCAGATAAGTCTGTGGGTTGGGCGGGGGGGGTAGTTGAAAGTCATATAGCTTCTAGTATCTGGAGTATTTTAGGAGACCATCTCCTCCAGAGTGGAAGCAGAGTAAAGACCAGATAGAAAGGCAAAGCCTTGGATAACTACTCCTGTCAAAGATAAGAAACATCCCAGCAGGATTATGGGAACTATACCTCCTCTGGGCAGTTAGGTTTTAGAGCTAAGATAGTGATAGAAAGGGTTAGAATCTGAGAGCTAAGGGATTAGGAAGGTACTGAAAAAGGACCCAAGCATGGAAGTAAAGACTTACTGGATTCCGCATACACAAAGATCATCATTAGTGGCCCCTGATTCAAAGTCAGCAGTGGCCCAGTAACTTACCCTTGATTCCACTGACTACAGGGCTAAAGTGTATTGTTTATTCATTCAATGAAGCAAATAACCGGTCCCAGTCTAAAAGAGTATTTCACTAGTTGCTGGGCCTACAAAAATAGAAGTGTGATTCCTGCCCTTCAGGAACTCATAGTCTAGAAAGGCAGGCAAATTTATCAACAAGCAACCAGAAAACTGTTTCATAATAGAGGTATGACCGAGGAGCTATACAAGCAGCAAGATAATTCTGCCTAGGGCACAGGAGACAAGGGAAAAATGGTTTTCACAGAGAAATGGATATTTAAATCATCTCAGAGATTAACACAATAAGAGGAGAGTTGTTCTAAGCAAAGGGAATAGCAAGAGTAAAGGCACATAGATGTAAACGCAAAGCATGTGTGTTGGGGGTGACGTGAGGAGAAAGTAGTATGAGATATGAAGCAGAAAATCACCCTAGTGATAAGATTGGGACCAGGTTTTCAATTTTATATCAAGGAGCTTAGACTTTTCCTAAAAGTAAAGAATTTTAAGCAGAGGCCTAGCGGCAATGTGGAAGATGGATGTCTCGGGCTCAGGGAGATCAGTTACGAGACCTAAACAATAACCAAAGTGAGTACTGATATAGAGGATAATTGGAGATACAATATATAGGTAATACTGACCAGATTGGTAATCAAATGAATGTTGTTAGGTGAAAGGGAGAACTAAAAGATGACTTTGAGGTTTCAACTATGAGTGACCAAAGGGTAAGTAATATTATTAAGGGAGATGTGGAACACAAAGGATTAGTTTACCTTCTAACATGTTGAATTTCTCTGTAGGACATCCAAATGAAAATGTCCAGCAAGCAAGCTTCCAGGTCAAGAGAAAAGATAGGGCTCAAGATTTGGAAGTCATCAACATGTACATAATAGCTAAAAAATGGATAGGACTTGTTTAAGAGGGAGAAAGGTAGAGTAAGGAAAGGACACAAGACAAGGAATACCAAGAGGAAGAAGTGGCTATGAAGGAGACTAAAAGGAATGATCAGAGAGGTTGAGGAACCAGGAAAGTATCTGCCACACTCTATGGGAAGAAAGCTGTAAGATGTGGTGGTCAATAGTAGCACATTGTAGCAGAGAGGTCTAAGAGGCTAATGACAGATCACTGGAAATGAAAGATCACTGGCAACCAGGTCTCTGATGTTAATGAGAAAAATTTTGGTAAATGATGGGTGCTGAACAAAGTGGCCTGAGGAGCAAATAAAGGAAAAGTAAAATGAGTGTAAACTACATTCACTAACTGGAAATAGAAGGAACTAGATCAATAACCTGAAGAGAAAGCAGAGGTTTTTCAAAATGGGAAAAGCAGAGAGACTTGAATATACTTATAGGCTGACAAGAGGGAATAAGAGAGAGAGTGAAGATAAAAAGAGAAAATAACTGTGAAACAAAGAACAAAAAGAAGTCAAAGTAACAGGCTAAGAGTGTAAGTGAAAGGGTCGGCCTCACAAAGGAAAAATAATATTTCTCTCCTAGGAAGAGAGAAAGGGGTAAATAGGTGAAAATATAGATGTTTATATGAAGAGGAGAGGAAGTTTGAGGACAATTTATTCCTCCATTTTCTCCATGAACTAAGAAGCAAATCATCTGCTGAAAATGAGGTCAGGATTGGGAAACTAGCAATAAATGGTTATCTGCCTTATTCACCAAATTATGAAGTCCTTGGTAGCAGAGATTGTCTCAACTCTTTATCCTTAACCTTAGTACTCAGAGTACATAGTAAAGACTCAATAAATATTTATTGAATGAACAGATGACAGAACTTTTAAGGGCTTAAGTCTGCAAAAACTAAAACCAAACACCCCAAAACAAAAAACACCTCCAATAAAGTAAAATATTAAAATGTTATAT